ACCAAGTTTTATCAAACAGCTTATAAAGAAAAGCCTGTGTTCAAATTGGCATTATACAAGGTAAAGTAAGCATGCATTTTTTAAATGAACACAGTTCTAATTGGAAGCTCCTCTCCATTTTATATGATGACAAATGAAATTAAAACCACACGATATTCTAGAAAATAAAAAACCGAAATGAGCAGCATACTAATGCAGGCACTTTACACACCTTAAGCCATTTAACATCTTAGCCATTCAACTTACATAAAATCCATGAAATAAAACGTCAGTAGTTAGTAGTTAGGCGCTCTAAAGACCCCTGAAACGCTTATTATCTAGTTGAAGAGAATATGGCAATCTTCAACTTAGGTAAAAAAGCAAATAATCTAAAGGCAAAAAGTTGTTTTATGGTTCTGAAGGGAGTCTACTGGTACACAGGTTCTTTCCTTTATTTACCACTTATTTATTCACTGCCTATTATGCTACAAAGGCTGGACTATGAGCAAAGGACAAAAAGTAAATAAACCTTGGCTCCTGACCTCAGAGGAGTCTACTCATTTTCAAAAATCTATGATTAATCCAAAACCACAAGGTATCACCTCACACCAGTCAGATTGGCCAATATTAAAAATACAAGAAAAAACAAGTATTGGCAAGGATGTGGAAAAAAGGGAACCCTCATGCCCTGATGGTTAAGATGCAAACTGGTACAGTCACTAGGAAAAACAGTATGGAGGTTCCTCAAAAAAATTGAAAATAGAAATACCATAGGACGCAGCAATTCCACTAATGGGTATCTGCCCCCCAAAAACAAAAGCACTAATTCAAAGATATTTACACGGAGCACCTGGGTAGCTCAGCTGGCTGAGCGTTTGACTTCAGCTCAGGTCATGATCTCAGACTCTGTGAGTTCGAGCCCTGTGTCGGGCTCTGTGCTGACAGCTCAGAGCCTGGAGCCTGCTTCAGATTCTGTGTCTCCCTCTCTCTCTCTGTCTCTCTCAAAAATAAATGAACATTAAACAAATTTAAAAAAAAAGATATATGCACCCCTATTTTCATTGCACCATTATTTATAATAGCCAAGATACGGAAGCAACCTAACTGTCCACTCATTGATAAAGAATGATGGAATATTACTCAGCCATAAAAAAGAATAAAATCTTGTCATTTTCAACAGCATATATGGACCTAGAGGGTGTTAAAGGGGATTCAGAGGCACAAACTCTAGTTATGAAATAAATGGCAGGGATAAAAAGTAAAGCATAGGGAATATAGTCAATGTTGTAATAATTTAGTATGATGACAGATAGTGACTATACTTATGGTGACGACTGTGTAATGTACAAAATTAAAACTGTCAAATCGTTGTCATACACCTGAAATATAACACTGTATGTCAACTATACTTCAATAGAAGTATTTTTTAATTTAAACCTATGATTAATGGTTAAACATTTTTTTTTAAAGTTGAAATAAGCACCAGTAAAATTAGCAACAGGTATTTTTACAAATGAGAAAAAACAGATTGAAATAGTATTAAGTTATACCAAAAGTTACTTTTTATGGTGATCCCAAAACCAGAAGGTTCTAAGAATTTCTTCCTTCTGTTAATTTGATATAAAAATTTGCACTATAAATCATCTTATAAGAAAGTTGTTTGACGAGCTTAAAATCTGTCCATGGCAGATTCAAAAGACAATTTGTAAAATGTCTCTTAAGCATACTATTTTAGGTACTAAGAACGAAGATGATAAAATAGACTCAGTCCCTTCCTCTTAACCTTTTCATCTAATACGGCAGACAGGTAAATGTACAAATCCCAATCTTACAGATTTTGAAAAATACTCAAGGACATTTGACAATCATCCCACCAAAGAACAGACTATTGGTTTGGATCTCAAAGGATTAACACCTTTGAGTGTTAATTTGCATGGGGAAAGCTGGTTTGGGATTTAAAATTTTCCTTTTTGTCTGTGTTAGTGTGGGGTGGGGTTGGTAGCACCAACAGCAATGCTAAGGGATGTAACGCTTCAGAGTGAAGGGCCAAGAAGCAGTTAAGAATGGCTGGGACACAAATAGAAAGAAATCTAACAAAAAGAAGATGGAAATGTAGGTTGAGGTCAGGATAAGAAAGGTCTTATATACTCACTGACTATGTAGTGAGAACCTATTATGTATCAAGTACTATGCTAGGCTCTGTATAAACAAGAGATGGTAAAAGCACATAGTTCTGCGGTCTTGAAGTTTACAATACAGTCAAATAGAGACATTTTAATTAAAAAAAAACTACATATATGGGTTAATTATACATGTAATTATGAACAGAGATAAATGCTAAGAAGGGAAGGAAAGGAATATGGCACAAAGAGAACTCAATGGTATAACAAAACAACCTGATGTATACTGCATTGGGGGTTGTGCACCAGGGAAGAGTGAGACCTGAAGCATGAGCAGGAACTTTTTTTTTTTTTTGGGCAGGGAGCAGGGAGATGGCCAAGTAAGCAAGGACCAGGAGGTTAAAGAGATTTGGGGGTCTTATTAGGATTTTAGTCTTTATTTTAAAAGCAATGGGAAGCTACTGAAAGGCATCTGAGGTAGAGATGGGGAGACTATGGAAATGATTAAATGTGCATTTCAGAAACATTACTCCAGCTACACACACTATGGTAAGAGTTTGGAGAGAACCAAGCTTCCTTCAGCCAAATTGAATGGAGAACAGTTAGGAGAGTTCGTGCAGCAGTCTAAGTGAGAAATGATGGTAGCCAGAATCAGGGTTATGACAATCAATGGAGGAAGAAAATTGGACATACAATCGATCCTCATTATTAGCAGAGTAAATGCATTCTTGTTTCAGCTCACACACTGTAGAGTATCCTCTTCTCTATGTATTGCCACATCTTTTGCATGTTTGTGCTTTCTGTTAGTAAGTTTGCTGTTTAAAATGAACCCCAAGCATAGTGAAGTACTGTCTAGTGTTACCAAACTACAAGAAGGCTGTGATGTATCTTCCAGAAAAAAATACATATATTAGATAAGCTTCTTTCAAGCATGAAGTTAGTGCTGCTGGTCATGAGCATGTGTGAATGAATCAACAACGTAGTTTAAATAAGGTGTCTTTAAACAGGAATATACAAAACAAGGTTATGCGCTAACCAACTATGAAAATGGTGTGACTAGAGGCTCACAGGAACCTACCACTATACTTCTAGAAGGCTTAGAATCACTAATTCAACATTCTAGTAACTTTATAGTACTAACTACTGAGAATAATAAGAACCAATCATTTGAGATTTAAAAGGTTAAAGTAAGTCTTTGAAATGGATTAGATATGGGGATGGTAAGGGATGAGTTAGAAAATGGACAAAGGAGGAGGAGGAAAACCACAGGACTTGGGTGTTACAGTCAGGTATGTACCCCTTCAGGAGTCTTACTGTGATTTAACAGCCACTGCCACGTTTGATGGTTCAACCACTCATCTTACAACAGGAGAAAGGATTAAGAAACCTGGCTCAACTACAGACTACACTGAATGTCCATTCCTCAGAATCCTAATCAACAAAATCTCGGCAAGAGTGAAGGTGTGCACACCATAAATCAATGCCCTGCAGCCAAAAGTAAGGACTGAGAAGGAAAAAAACTGTAGCTCTGCACTTCAGGAACTGATCTGAGGCTTATACCTCTATCTCAATGTTGTTTCAAACCAATCTGATGCTTATAGCTAAAACATATTGTTTTCCTGTACATAAACAACCTCATAGAACATCCATCTCAGACAAGTTCACTTACCACAAAATATGGAACATCCCCTTTCTAACTCATTAAGTGACTGCTTCTTCTTCAATTAGTTTTGCCTCTGCTTTAGTCTTGCCCTCCGTGTATTAGGATGTCCAATGATGGAATTGCCCCACTTTCCAACAATCCAATCTAATGTGAAACTCCACTTCCTCAGACCTTTCCCAAAATTACCCAAATGAATAGGACCCAACATCTTTTTACTGAGACTTCGCATAGTGTGTGTTCTCCCTCACTGTAATGGTAATAAACCCAACCTGTGTCAGGGATGACTCTACAAGAGAATTTCAAGGAGTAACAAGTGGTAAACAGTCCTTGTCTATCAGGTAGATAAACAAAGAAAATATCCACTGAATTAGTTACATAGAGCTTGTTAGAAATTTGGGGAAAAGTAGCATCGGTGATCTTAGGTGGGCAACAGCTAAGGAGTTTAGAGTTTGTCTTGCAGTCAATGGGAATTAGTGGGGTAGGCAATGATCGGCTGTGACATTTGGAAAGAAAACTCCAATGGAAGAGTTACCAACAGACTGGATTAAAAAGAGGCCTGAGACAGGAAGACTAATTTGAGAAATACTCATCAGGGAACTAAATGAGACAGAGAAAGGTAGAAGGGTGACATCAAGGTTTTCCAAATTGGGCCATCTGGTAGATGGTAATCTAACAGGACAAAATAAGAATAAAAATGGCTTAAGACGGGAGACAGGGAAGTTAGAACGTTAACTTGCAGGCTTCTACAGGAGTCCTAGGTGGATGTAACCTACAGGCAGTGCCATTTCATTCATTATTCAATAAGCAGTTGGGGGGTACCATCATTAGGAACCGTGCCAGGCTCTGCAAACAGTTAGGAACACCTGGCTTATTCTACTGAACTGAAAGTTCCTTGAGGTGAGTTATTCATCTCTAGTAAATCCAAGGTAGAGATGTAGAAACAGCGGTAGAAATAGACACCTTGTATTGCACAATGAGCAGCTCTCACAACCCTCCCCTCATGTACAAACACAATTTTACCCCTGTTACCAAAAGAAAGCTAAATAATACCGGCCAAGTGCATCATGTAGTGAACCAATTATCTTTCAAAGAACTTACCACTATCTCATTTTTTCTTATTTATTCCCTTAGAACATGAATTTAGGACAGTCTTAGTATTGTTCATGTAAATAAGACTAATTTTTAGTACTCTTTCTTCTTCCCAGTTTCCTCAATGAGGTCTTTCTTCTATTTTTCAGTGGTGAGCCTTAATCATTGCTAATAATCAGCGTTAGCAGTACACCTTTATCAAGAAAAATCACGTAAGTGAAATCCAGTAGCTTACTGCCATCAACCAGCAAAGTACGTAAAAAGTGCCCAGACATCACCTTCTTAACCTCTACAAATCTACTTCTTCTGATTAAACTTACTTTTCTACAAGTACAAGTTGTCCAGAGAACTTAGCTAGTATTTATTGTTACATTATTGTAAATGCCCATGTAGTACTTTCAGCTGTAAGACCTCTACGGTCCTTCCAGCTCTGAAAGGCTATGATTCCATACCAGACCTGAGGTTTTTATTAATTAGCATTTTAAAGTTTCCAAGAGAAAATACCTTCTAATGTCCAAAACAACACATAAATAAATAAATTTGGTAACATAAACCATTATCAAGCTAGGAAATTCTGCAATGCACTAAAAAATTATTTTAAATTGTATCAAATGATATTAAAAAAAAAAAAAAAGATTGGGAGATTTTACAGTGGTTTCTGGAAGACATTTCCCAAAATCCTTACATGCTTTTCTCTCAACTCTGGAATTAAAATCCAATTCAACTAAAACAAGCACCTATTAAGAACCCGCAAGGCCAAAACAGTACAGGATTCAGTTCAGTAAACAAGGTCCCCACCCTCAATCAGTTCCCTACACAATACTGACCCCCAGCTCCAGTCAAAATTACCTACTCCCTCTCCCCCAATGGAGTTTTGTACAGTGTGCTTTCATACTTATACTCATTTTCTCTACCTACAATTTCAAGGCCTAGCTCAGATCACTCTATGAACATCAACCTCCTTGCTTTCATCTTCTCTGCCACTTAAGCCTAATAACTGCATACTGCCCTGGGTTCTTCACCTTTTTATAAAAATGTCTTAACCATTCCACAAGCATGGAGTATTACTGAGGGCAAGCACTAGATCTTAAACATTTTGTAGTCCTTCTCAGGGAATTACTAAAAGCATCTCCTAGCACAAAATATTCCATAAGCCTGAGAAGGAACTGAAATTTAAGTTCTTAGTCTTAAATGTGCCCTAGTCAAAATTCTGGAGAAGTAACATAACATGGTAGCTAAGAGTTCATGCTCTGGGGGTGTCTGGAAACCCCAGATCTAATGTCTAACCCACCTTGGGCAAGTACTTAATTAATATCACCACATCTAAGATTCCTCAACTGGAAGAGAGACTGTTAGTATTCACTTTACTAGTATCATAATAAAGATAATTAGGATCAAGTGTACGAAGTCGACAGTAAGCATTAATGTTAACTATTATGTAGAAAAAAATAAAATAATGGTAAATTGTCTTTAGCTCTTGATTCCTCGTAATACCATAATTCAGTTAGTGGTGAAGCATATGAAAATAAAAGCAAAACTTTAGTTACCTCAACTCACTGAATTTTCAACATTAATATTCATAAGTGGAGCATTCACATGATTCGTGAACACTAAAGTTTTCATTTTGTTATCTACAGAATTACCTAACTACTGGCACTAAACCTTAACATACCACCTTCAGGGACGCCTGGGTGGCTCAGTTGGTTAAGCGTCCAACTTCGGCTCAGATCATGATCTCCCAGTTTGTGAGTTCGAGCCCGGCATCGAGCTCTGCGCTGACAGCTCAGAGCCTGAAGCCTGCTTCGGATTCTGTGTCTCCCTCTCTCTCTGGCCCTTCCCCTCTCAAGCTCGTGCGCTTGCTCTCTCTCTCTCAAAAATAAACATTAAAAAAAAAAAAGATACCACCTTCAAAGAATACAGAATACTAAAACACGAAAGAAAAGGACATTAGACCCCCCCCCAATTGAACCCATGATTTAAATCTTACAAAATGATTCTTTAAAAATGCTGACATCTGAAAATTTTGAAGCCTATACCCATTTCTTGACATGAACGGACTATGTAGTTATCCAGAGACCTAAAATTTCAGGCCTATTAGGGACCTTTTGTAATCACTCATGTACAAAGTGAAAATTTAATCCTAAATAAAGTAGCCTGCCCAAGATTTCACAGATGGTTCACAGAAAAGACTCCTTAGAACCCATGACTAGAACCCATATTTTGTGACCAGCAGGTCATATTCTCTATGGATTCCACCATGAGAATAATAATCTTTTTTTTCTTTTTAGATATAGCATTGTTTTCTTCTGCCCTTAGCACAAGTAGTGCTAAGTGCCCTTGCACATGTTTGATATTCCAGACTTTTAACTTTGTCCTCAATTCTGTTGGTAGATATTTTAAAACATGTAGCAACAAAGTATGATATTTATACCAAAATAAATTTCAAGTGAGAAGTTAAAAGGCATAATTTTAAAATAGAACACATACATTCAAATGTCTGTACTGCAATTATACAGAAAAATGTTCAAAATACTTGACTTCAAGTGCTCACTATTTTAATCAATCTGTTAAATATCTGTAATTTAATATACACAGTGCTTTAGTTCCAAAGACTTGTCTGTTAACTAGATGGCTTGAACATAAGACATGTCTTTAGAACAGAGTTAATAAAAATCTTAATGTCAAGGGGCACCTGGGTGGCTCAGTCGGTTGAGCGTCCGACTTGAGCTCAGGTCATGATCTCACACTCCGTGAGTTTGAGCCCCACGTCGGGCTCTGTGATGACAGCTCAGAGCCTGGAGCCTGCCTCAGATTCGGTGTCTCCCTCTCTCTCTGCCCCTCCCCCACTCACATTCTGTGTGTGTGTGTGTGTCTCTCTCTTTCTCTCTCAAAAATAAACATTAAAATTTTTTTTTTAAAAATCTTAGTGTCAAATTGCTCAAGTCACGGTTTCCACACTTATCTTTCTATAATGTTCACCAACTATTAGAAATATATCAATATTACACTTTTAGAAAAATTATCCACCAAGCAGTGTTTTGATTTACTCTGGCTGAAACTGGCAGATAATCCTTATCAAGTTCAACACTGACTATAACTTAACATCAGAGCAATATTTCTTTCATAGTTTATTTAAAAAAGAAAACATGAAAGCATGTATGTATTATCTTTATAAGAAATTTAAGTATCTTCAGTCAAAAATCACATATGCAACATTCACATGACTTGATTTGTTTATACCAAACATATTACCCATACACAAGTCTCACTGGCTGACCAACACAGTGCCATTATAGGAAAGTGCTACCTACCTCTAGGATGAAATTGCATACAATCAGAATGATATTGAGTACTTTTACAGAATGAGCCAAACTGACAGAAATGGGAAGGGGGCAAATCTCACCACACACTCTACACGGCCGTAAGTATGAATACACACACACACACACACACACACACACACACACACACTTAAATGTGTGTGTGTACATATCACCCAAATATGTATTTCAATTTCAGTGTCTTGCACTGGGAGCAAGCAAAGGTCCAAAGGGAAGTAAACAGAATTCTAACTCTAAAAAAAGCAAAAAAAAAAACCCTTTTATTTTCTCCAATAATCTTGATTTTGATCTACACTACCCAAAACAAACACGTCTCTTCCAAAAAGTCACAACACTAAAATCTTCGGTATTAGCAAACCAGGTTTAAAAAGTTTCAAATGCAATACTTAACTCCCTAGGTAGCAAAACTTTAAAAAATTCATTTCTGGCTTTGAAGTCACAGAACCAGAACTGTATTTCACTGGCCATCTGAATACGCCAGCACATCAATTTAATTAGGAACGTGATCATTACATTTTTCATGGTTCTCTTTTCACAAATGGGGAAATTTCTTCCTGGCAGGTAAGGTCTGGATGGGCTTTCAGGTGTTAAAGGGTACTGTTCATATCTACATAAAACTTGTGTAGACTTATAACTTATAGCCTTAAGACTTTGATTTCAGCCACGATTTTAATGGAAGACTATCTGTTCTTTTCTTTAAAATGCACACAAAACACAATCAACGAGCCTTAGAGAACAAAACAGGTATCAAAGAAATATAAAGCTTGTTTTTAGACCAGGAGCTTATTTATTCTGTGATAAGTAAGGATAGGAGGTAGGAAGGAAGAAATCCAACAATTACTGTAATGCAAAAAATAAAAAGAGAGAGAGAGAGAAAAACCAAGATAACCCGTGAAAATATAATAGTTCTTCAATATGCATGCTACAAGGTTTGGAAACGGTTGTACAAGTCTTCTGGAACAGAACTGCTAATAAATGAGGCTTCATATTCACCACCCTCGTATTTGAAAACTTCTATCAGTAAGATCCATTTGCTCATTTTACTCTTCTGTTTAAGGTTCAGGAATTCACCTTTCTGGCAGTAATTCTGGATATAAGCAAATGAGACTGGAATCCCCAATTCCTGCTTAGTTTTTACCTGACAAGGAAAAATGACAAGAGACGCTGGCGGGAAAACCCTGCGAGTCAAGTTTCCCCAGCCTGGCTCCCCTCCACCCCACCCCCTTCTTCCCACCTTCCCGAAAGGAATGGTCCAAAGAAAAAGTTTATAACCCAATCCAGGAACAGCCACCCCAAAACAAGCACATCATTGAAGCTGAATGCACCTAGGCCCACTCCCAGCTGCGGGAAAAGAGGCGGCACCTGGGGCCCGGAGTGGGCAGCAGCCAGAGCCCCAGCGGGCAGGGCGGCCTAGTGCCTGAGGCGGGCGGGCCGGTAGGCCCGGCCTCCCGGTCCCCAAGCCTAGAGCAACTCCCTTCCCCACAACGGCGGGTGATTTTGCCCCTTCACGCCACCTGGGACGCGAGAATCACGTCTCGGGATTGGGGGTGGGGGCAGGGAATGCAGTGGCGGCGTCTGGGGACGCAGAAGGGGCCTCAGACCAGCGGCGGGCAACCGCCTAGAGTAAAGAAGGGGGAGGGGGCTGGAGGGTGGGAGCGCACAGGAGCCTGCGGGAGCGGGGAACGGGGTGGTGGGCCGGAGACCTCGGGAAGGCAGAGGGACCCGCCAAGGCCAAAGGGGTGGGGCAAGGCCTGTGTGGGGGCCAGGGCCGCGGATGGGGCACCCCAAGGTGGGCGCAGGGTCGGATTTCGGCCTCACCTGAAGTCCTTGTCGCTGGATGTCATTTTTTCCAGCAAATTGGAAATGTGGTACGAGGCGCTCGCCATGTTGACGGCCTCGATCCCGCCCGCTGGCGTTGCTGGTGCTGCTGCCCGCTGCCGGCGCCGCTGTAGCTGGGGCTCCTCCTCTCGCTTGCGGCGGCTCCCGCTTCCA